GAAGATCCCACATGCCGCGGAGCGACTGGGCCTGTGAGCCATGGCCGCTGAGCCTGCGCATCCAGAGCCTGTTGCTCGGCAACGGGAGAGGCCACAACAGTGAGAGGCCCGCGTACCGCAAAAAAAAAAGTAAATGGAAGAAAGTTATTCATAGTCACACTGATCCAGAGATAGCCATTAATCAATTAATTAATTTTTAAACAGAAATATCAAGGCATTTCCCCAGGCTAGGAGCACCTCCTGAATGAAAACATTGGAGAAAGTTGCAGATGCAGTGTTACCAATAAGGAGTTGTAAAGCTAAAAGAAACTTTCCTAAACTATGAAAATAAAAGTAATTTCCACAGCCATGAGGAAGGAGAAAATTATGTTTCTATTCTCTCTGTTGAATATAAAATTGTTGCCATATGAAGAGGTGATTAATGTAGGAAAAAATTTTATAGAGGTGTCTTAGGCAATTACTTAATGATAGTAAGTTTTTCCTGGATATTGTGATGTTTGTGGTATTTGTCAACTTAAAATAATTTTAAATTATTTGTGGTGATTTCTTTTCTCATTATTTTCATACTGAATTTTGTACCTAGTTTACTTACGAAAGCTCCCTAAATTATACAAGCTTCAGGTCCCATATAATCTGGTTTAGGGAACCTAGACATTTTCTTGGATTATTTTCCCTAACAAGGTATGGGTTGCATTGTTTGCCCTCTTGTGGTACTTGTGGTATTTTTAGTAAAATTATTCAGGAATAAGCATTTGTGACTTAGACTAGTTTTTCCCTGTGGAACTCTTAACTAGCCTGCTCAGAAATTATACTTTTGATTTTGGCCTCATTAACATCATGTTCTGATGAACTGGTACGGCTCACTTAGGTTAATGTAGCTAGTAAAATGCTGAAACATGTTCATAAGTAGAGTTTTTAAGCTACACAGTAAAAGTACAAAATTTCTAATCAAACAGCTACCTACCCTGTCTATATCTATTTTGCTTGTGATTTAAAATCACTGACGAGCAATAGTTTAACGTTTGAAAATTTTACTTTGTAGAAAATTAAAAAATAAATGTATAAAGAAGGAAGCAGGGAGTTCCCTGGTGGTCCAGTGATTAGGACTCGGTGCTTTCACTGCCGTGGCCCCTGAGGGTTCATAACCACTGTCATATGAAGGCTTGTATAATTTAGAAATATACTCTATGGCACTGGACTTTGAGTTGGGAGACTAGGATTCTCTGGGTTTTGGATTGTCAGTAACTTGCTATATGACTTTGGGCAAGTTACTTCCTCCTCAAGACTCAGTTTCCTCACCAAGAGAGGTATAATATATTGTAGGGTTGTTGTGATGATGTATTTGGAATTTCTAACTGGTCAGTGATTACAAAGTAGTTTATAAACCACAAATTACCATGTAAATGCAAATTTTCATTAATAATTTTCACTTAAGAAAAAGTACATAGAAACAAAATTAATACTAATTTAAAAAACAAAACTATTTCAGCTACAGAGACGGCAACAAAAATACCACTTTAAAAACTTGGGATAGAAATGATTTTAAGCCTCAGTGCAAAAGAACAAATCTAATGACAAATAATGGAATAAATTCATGTCCAGTGAATTTGGGAGCTCAACAATGGAAACAATTAAGAGTATATGAATCTACTAACTTATCTCACCAAAGAGAAAGTGAAGTACTCACACAAACACATTCGTCAAAAATATCTGGCTCCACAATGAGAAGTCTAGACAGAAACGGTTCATTACAGGCATTTAAGCCCAATTTTCAACAAAATCAACGTAAGAAAAAAATGTTGGATGGTTTTCCAGAAGAAAACACCCTCAAGGTAAACTTTTAAATATTATTTGCATTTTTGTATTTACATTAAAAAAATGAGATAAGTATTTAGAAAATTGCAGAGATAAGAGCATTTGAAATCACTCCCCTGGTATACGTTACTTGATTAGCACAAATACCCAGTTCTGTTGGAGTAGATATATGTTAGTGTCCAAAATATTTTCTTAGAGGTTGTGAATGGCTGCTGCTTTTCAGAGTTGCTTTAGAATTTCCTACCAGGTTCTGAATTTCACTGTTTGCTAATTATTGAGATGATGATAGTTTATCCATTGCTTGCAGCAATTCTTCATTTCTTCATATGTCACTCTTTTTTTTTTTTAAATAGGGGTCAGCAAACTTTTTCTGTGGAGGGTTAGATAGTAAATATTTTTGGCTTTATGGGCCATATTGTCTCTCTTGCAAGTACTCAACTATACCACTCAACTCTGCTGTTGTACCTTAAAAGCAGCCATAGGTAATTCATAAATTAATTGGTGTGGCTGAGTTCCAATGAAAATTTACCCCAAAACATAGCAGATTAGATTTGGCCTGCAGGCCGTAGTTTGCTGACTTCTGCTCTATAATCTGGTCTTATATACATTTACAGATTCGTATTCCATATTTCACTAATTCTTCAATGCTCCAGCCATTTCAGACTCTTCACAATTCTCTAAACGCACTCTAATATGACTCTGCTTTGGTTTATATTCTTCCCCATACCTGTGCCTCAGCCTTATTTCCTCTCTCCACCTCTCATTCTAGTCATTCTTTGTAAATGTCTTTCATATATGTTCTGGCTGTTTGCTATCTTCCCTTGCTCGCCACCTGGTCTAATAGATTCTTTATCCTCAGCCCTTGTCTGTGTTCTGGAAGGCTGAATGGTCCTACATAGTGCATCATTCTGGGATCCATTAGCTGGCTTCTGTTAGGAGTCAGCCAGTGGGAGTGGAAGTCCCAGGCAAGACATCAAAGGGTAGAGAGAGAGGTTGGGTTTTCCCATTCCCCCCTGGCTTAAGTGTTGTGTCTCAGGTGGTAGCTGTGTCCCTGCATGATGTGGCCCCTCCGTAAGTCCAGATTTCACAGGCTTGGTAATTTTATTTCCTCCTCTTGTCCTTTCAGCCTAGGAGTGGTAGAAGTTTCTTATTGTTGTTAGTCTTTGAGTGCTTAAGTACCCTATGTTTATTCTGCCCATACACCTGTAAGCAGTTTTTTCAATAAGCCATCTGGGGTAAATTTTGTTTTCGGGAAATATGACTAATATTGCATGTTCCACAGTGGTTCTCAACCTTGTTTCCTTGTACACAAGAATGATATGATAGTCACCTTAGTAACAGTGGCTCATTAAGGCAGTAATCCTCAACAGGAAGCATTCATATCTTCGTTAGGAATGGGGAAGAGGAGGGAAGGTAATTGTAGTTGGAAAAAAATGTTCCATCAAGTGTTCTTGGATATGCCACCGCCCTCATGAAGGAAGGTGCCCCCTCCCCCAAAATTAGTATCTTAGCACACTGTATTCTTAGTTGATCTTTTAAAATTTTAGTTAACTAGTTCAACTTTTATTTTTGTATGACCTTATGTCATCAGGCTTTCTTTTCCTCTCTCCCTCCCTGCCTTCCTTCCTCTTTCTTGTAGGCCTGCCTACTTTCTTGGCCTGAGGCTTGCCAGTACTGGTCCAACAGGCTGGTGGGCGAGGCCAGGTCCTGGTCCTCTGTGATTGCAATTAACCTCCCATTTGTGGGTTGCCCACCCTGGGGGTATGGGTCTTGACTATACCTTGTATCTTCCCTCCTACCAGTCTTGTTGTGGTTCTTTCTTTATATCTTCAGTTGTAGAATTTCTTATCTGCTAGTCTTCTGGTTTTTCTCATCAATAACTGCTCTGTAAATAGTTGTAATTTTGGTGTGGCCATGGGAGAAGGTGGGCTCAGGGTCTTCCTACTCTGCCATCTTGGCCATTCCACCCTTTTAGTTGATCTTTAAAAATGCCAAACACATTCCCATCTCAAGGCCTTTAAACTTGCTGTTCACGCAGTCCTCACTCAACAACCTATTTAAAATAATAACCCCTGTCTCTTTTTATCCTTTTACCCTGTTTATTTTTTTTTAATGCATAGGATATAGCAATTCCTGACATTCTATATTTATTTATTTTCTGAATCCCCTATTAGACTGTACAGTCTCTGAAGGTAGATAGATTGTCTGTTTTGTTCAGTACTGTTTCCTCATTAGCTATGTTTGGCACGTAGTAGGTGCCAATAAGTACTTTTGGAATGAATGAATGAATGAATGTGTCTGGGTTCCCTCTTAGAGTGTGAGCACATTAGGGAAAGGAATTGTGTTTTACTCACCTGTGTTTATCACAGGGTTGGCACATGATGCTTTAAAAATATTCAAAGAATCGACAAATGAATGAGTGAATAAATGCCCATATAAAACAGAGATTAAAAAGAAAAAAAATAATCCTCTTCTTGATTAATTTTCTCCAAGTGCATTCTAGTTTCTCCTCCTTTATAAAGTACTAGTGATGCCTTTAATTTAGGGGAGTGACTGTACTAAAATTGTCAATAGTTCCTTTTACATATTTTACATAGTCTTTTAACATATTTTACACATTTGCCTATTATAAGGACCTAGAATCTTTACAAAGAAAAGTGAATGAGTATGACGAAAAAAATGACAGGTTTTTCTAATGCTGTGTTTTCATTTTTTCAAAAGGAAGCATCATTGTATCCGTTAAAGCTTAAGGAGAAAGAGAATTCTTTGAGAATTATATCTGCAGTTATTGAAAGCATGAAGTACTGGTGTGAACATGCACAGGAAACTGTCCTTGTTTTTGAAATACTAGGTGGGTACACACTGCTTCAAAAATGCTTCGGTAATACCATTTGGACAATAAGTTTGAATGTTAATAGGAATACCTAGGGGATCTTAAAGGAAAGTAAAATTTTATAAAAGGAGATTATGGTTTATTAGGATTTTCTTCAGATCCTGTATCTCTCATAGATTTGTGTGACATAAGATGTATTTGATTATTCATGGTAGAAGAATTCTAATTCATAATGTCAAAAATGGAAAGATTCTTAAAAGTAATCTAACCCAACCCTTGAGGTAGGTGAGGAAGTGGGGCAGAAAATTAAAATAGACTTGACTAAAAATCATAATGCTAGTTAGCAGCAGAAATGGATCTAGACTCCAAGTCTTCTTATTCTCAATAGAGTGTTCTTTCTACTATATCACACTAAATCCAGTAGTAATTTTGTATATAAGTTAAATTATAAATCAAATATTCCGAAAGAACATTTGTGAAGAACCCTTTACTGATATGAGTAAACACCCTACAATTAGCCTGTTTTCTAAATTAATATTTAAAAGGGAGGAGAGTTTTGTAAAATGTTTCTGGAATTTAATTTTACTTAGACTGAAGAGATAAACAAGAAGTGGAGATTCAAAACCTATTTCTTTCCATAGGTTAAATAAAATATTTCATTTAAATTATGAAATATTTTAAACATGCAGAAAAATACAGAGAATAAATATCCACCTACCTATGTTATAGATATCTTTGAAAACCGCTATCCATTTCTCTTCTTCTCTAGAGATAACCACTGTGGTATCTTTCCTTTCCATGCTTTTATAATTTTACTCTATACATCTGATTTCATAAATTTATATATATTTATTTACTGTTTTATGTGTTTTAAAATATAGAGTTTACATTTTCATCGGCATTATGTTTCGGAGATTTAGCCATCTTTCTATCCTGTTAGTGTTGGCTTCATCCTGAGGCTCCAATTATGGACTCTTCCCTTATGACATTAAGAAGATTATCAGAATTCTCTATACCACACATTCTTCCTTATACCACAGTCACATTCTTTGATAGTTTCTTCTGGTTGCTCGTTCCCAGAAACTAGCAAATGACCCCTTGCGTATCATCATTTCTGACAGGGCAACAAGCCCATCACTGCAACCCTGAGCTCTGTAGCTGAGGAAGCGGGTACATTGACTGGCTTACATCAGTCTCAGGTTACTCCTGGGCCTAGGGGTGGGGACAAATCCCATCCAAATCATATGGCTAAGAATGGCATAGGAGAGATTTCCTAAAGGAAAATCTGGGCATTATTAGGGGAAATGGAGGCTGACCTCAAAATAACAAATGTTCACTGTCAGTACCTAATAGATGGTTATTAAAGGAATGAATAATGGTCTCGTTTGATAGTAATTTCTTGAGATAAACATGAATTATCATTTGAATCTTATAGATGAAACAGATTTGAAAGAGGTTAAACAGTTGTTCGATTTAGTAAGTTGAAGAACTGAGACTCAGTTGCATGACTTCTGATTCCGATTCAGTGCTTTTTTTTTTCATTAAACCATGCTGTTTATTTGTTATACTTGTGTATTTTGTTTACTGTAATGTAGTAGACTGGTCTGAGGATTTAACCACTCCATCAAACACACTCAAAGAAAAAAGCTTCAGATGGCCAGCTATTGTCAGTTGTATAAACTTTGTCATATAACCTGATCCTAGATTGGAGAGGGCCAGAAATTTTGCCTTCCTTAGAATAAAACAGTTTCAGAAATATCTTTCCCTCTTCAGATGTTTTCTTATTAATGTATAAACAAAACTATGAGAGGTTGGTGTGGGAATAGCTATTTAAATATCAACTTCTCTTTGTTAAACTTTATTTGCATTTTACCAACACTGATTTTTTCCCCCTCTATTTCAATGTTGCTTAGCTGTTCTCGATTCAGCTGTTACACCTGGCCCATATTGTTCAAAGACTTTTCGTCTGAGAGATGGGAAAAATACTCTGCATTGTGTATTTTATGAAATAGTGAGTATCTGTTTAAGTATTCTTTGCAAAGCCTATGCCAACAAAAACATACAAATGCAGGCTATAATTCAACTGTAGTAGAAATTCTGTTAATGATTTAGTGGTACTTTCAACATTTTGTTTGGTTTTAATTATGATATTAAAATTATTTATTTGTTCAACTAAAATGGAGGGCTACTATGTGCCAGGCACTGTTCTAGATGCAGGGGATACAAAGTGGAATAAAAGTGGTAAATGGCTCTTTCTCTCAAAGAGTTTATCATCTCAGGTAGAAAGACGGAAACCTAAATGTTACACTGTGGTATGATAAATGGTATGACAAGTGGTGTGTGCAGGGTGCTATAGAAGTAGATAGGGAGGATGGGTCAGATCAGGGAAAGATTTTTGAAGAATGTAGTCTTGTCTTAGATATTTAAGGTCTAATGAATTAAGCCAAAGTGTTGGGAGGTGGGGGAAGAGGTTGGAGGAACACATTCTAAGGTGAGGGAGCAGCACATGTAAAGACATGAAGCTCAGATAGAGCCTGGATTGTTCAGGAAACTGCAAGTAGTTTACAATTACCGGAGTGTAGAGTTAGTAAGTGATGGGGGTAAGGGTAGTGGTTATGAACTTGGGGGAATGCAGAGGGAGTGGGCTGGGACGTAGGAAAGAGCTTGGTAACAAAGGAGGCTGGAAACCTTCTAAGACTTACATACTTTATAAAATAGTTTGGCATTAATTCTGAAATTGGGCTTAATTCTGAAATCACACTTGGATTCCAATTTGTACTCCACCATTTATTAGCTGTATGACCTTGAGTGAGCTCCTTAAACTTCTTGAGCATCAGTTTTTTGATCTGTAAATTGGGGAGACTAATTCCTACTTTGAAAGGTTGTTTTGGAGATTAGATAATAAAATATGTGAATGTATAGCATCTGACACATAGCAGATGATCAAGAAATAGTAGCTGTCATGTTATTAATTTTTATAATATCTTGAAAGCTTATTATTTTTCTCTAGTCTGATAAGTTTTAAAAAACCTTTTATTAAAATATAACATATACAGAAAAATGCACAAATCATAACCGTACAATTCTATGAAGGTATCACAAAGTGAACATTACCAAGGTTAAGAAATAGAACATTGCTATCACCCTAGCATCCTTGTGCCTCTTCCCATTCACTCCCTCTTGTTTTCTGCCTACAAGTAACCACTACTGTGACTTTTAATATCATAAATGAATTCTGCCTGTTTTTGAACTTCATATAAATAGTGTCATGTGGTACGTCTTGTTTTATGTCTGGTTTCTTTCATTCAACACAATGTTTGTAAGATTCATCTGTGTTGTTGCATGTAGCTAAAGTTCATTTATTTATGTTTCTATGTACAATATTCTTTTGTATGGATATATCACAATTTAGTTTTCTATTCTACTGTTGGTGGACATCTTGGTTGTTTCATGGTTTTTTTTTTTATTATGAATAATACTCTGTGAACATTCTTATATATGTCTCTTGTTGTGCACATGCATGCCTTTCTGTTGGGTATGTATCTAGAAGTAAAATTGCTGAATTGTAGTGCATTTGTAAGTTCTAATACAGTAGTTATTGCCAAAGAATTTTCCAAAGGGTTGTTAACAGTTACGTACTCACAGTCAGCATAGGAGAGTTGTAGTTTCTCTGCATTCTTGTCAACATTTAGTAGTCATTGTTTTTTATTTTAGCCATTCTAGTGGGTAAGTTTAGCGCTATCTCATTTCTCTCCAATTCCCTGGTGACTAATGAGGTTCAGCACTTCTGATGTTTACTGGCCATTTAGATATCTTCTTTTGAAAAATCTGTTCAGGCCTCTTGTAATTTTTTTCTGTTGAATTATTTTTTTCCTTATTGATTTATAGGAGTTTTTGAAAAAACTATTCTGAGTACAAGTTCTTTCTCTATTATATACATTGCAAATATCTTCTCATACTCTGTGGTTTGCTTTTTCAGTCTTAGTAGTGGCTTTTGAGGAAAAGAAAATCTTCACTTTAATATGGTCCTTTAGCAATTATCAACATTTTCCTTTATACTTAGTGCTTTTTATGACTGTTTAGCGAAAGAAATCTCAGAATAATTTTATTCATGACTGAGAGGATTTGGAGCTGGCTGGTCTTTTTCTGGCTTACTAGTCCCATTAGGGCACAACCCTTTTGAGTCTCCCAACCCTAAGCCTGGGGTGGGGGCGGGGTGGTTACCAGAATCTCTTTTCTTTGGGGGACCCTGGAGTCCATTTTTTCTCTAGCCCCATGAGCTGTCAGAAGCTCTGCTAAGTCTCTTAGACTCTCAAATTGCCTTGACTGTAATTAGCAGATACCTCAGGGGGTAAAGCATCCCCAAATATCAGGCCCCATTCTGGACTCCTATCCTCTCCCAGATGGGGTCTCTGTAACTCCTCACTGCCTTTTATCTCTCTGGTGTCTATGAGGATATTTTTAAATAAATATTCTATCCAGGTGTTCTAGTTGTTTTTAGTGGGAAAGTTGGTCTGAACTACCTAGTCTGTCATCTACTGAAAGTGGAACTCTGGAAGTCTAATAGAAGTGAATATTCATGTGCCATTATATTGGGAATTATTCAGTCTTTTAAGAAGCAGCAGCTCACTAGCTTGTAAGAAGCCCTACCCAAGTGAAGGTCTTCTGTGTCAGGGCACCCATTTACGACTAGCTATTATGGTCTTGTTGCAGTGGGGCCCTAAATGAGGTAAGGGAATTACAGCATTTTGGAGTGATTCATATTTAGTTGATCATATTATTAGTTTAAAAAATTGAAATTCAAATGAAGTAATAAATAACTTTATTGATATTTTTTTTTAAAAACAGGATCGTGAACTTCCACGACTGATTAGAGGCCGAGTTCATAGGTGTGTTGGAAACTATGACCAGAAAAAGAATATTTTTAAATGTGTTTCTGTCAGACCAGCATCTGTTTCTGAACAAAAAACTTTCCAAGCATTTGTTAAAATTGTAGATGCTGAAATGAGATATTATACTAATGTAATGAATGAAATTTAAGTAGTGATGAAGTTTAAATAGTATAAATTAAGCATTTTTCTGTCCTTGTTTTAATTACCACCTCCATGGTTTTATGGCTACTGTTCTTCTGTATTTCACTTGTTGAATTAAAATATTTAAATCCTTTTAATGTGGAAAGAATTTTTGAAAAATAATTTTACTGTTATTATAAAAATGGTGCATTTGCTAAAACTAAAAAACCATTTCAGATAAAAATGCTCAATATAATAAGAATAGGCACATACTTATTGAACATGGGATAATAGTACATTTGAGTCAGCCTAAAAGCCAACATGAAGCTTAATGGGGAAATATAGAGACATTCACACTAAAGTCAGGAACAAGGTCGGGGTGCCCTATACTGGAGCTCCTAGTCCATGCAGTTCATTTAATTACTTCAGATATTTAGTGGGCATATGCTCTGTGACTATTTCAGGTGCTTGTTTGTTAACAAAGCAGGTTACAAAGTAACAAAAATCTCTGAATTTATGGTATTTATATTCTGGGACCCATAGAATACATTAGACAAAAGAGAAATATTTGGGGTATAATAATTACTGCTATTGGTAGATGACATAATTGCATATATGGGAAACGTAAGAAAATCAACCAAGAAACTACTGTAAAATGAGATAATTTGGTAAGACACTAAAATAGAAAACTATTTTAATATGCAGAAATCATCGGTAGGTGTTATTTATATGACCCAAACCATTAGAGTGTGAAATGGATAAAGATATCATTTAAAAAAATATCTAAGACTAACCAATACTAAGTGATAAATGTGGAAAGTATATGAACAAAACTTTAAAATACATACTAATGAAGGACACAAAAGAAGACTTGGACAAATGGAAAAATAAATCATTTTCTTGGATAGGAAGACAAAGATGTTGATTTTTCTAAAATTAATTTATAACATAATTTCTTTCTCTGTATGTATACAAACCACACACACACACACACATTAGCCAAATGAATACTAAAGGTTATAGATATCAAAATATGAGAATAGTCAGGAAAACTCTGAAAAAGAACAATAGAGGATAGTTTTATCAAATATTATAAAGCCTTAAACATATACTATTATAGTTATTGTTGCATAACCAATTACCCACCAAATTAGTGGCTTTAAATGACAAGCATTTATTATCTCTCACAGTTTCAGTGGGCCAGGATTTCATAGGTGGACTGGCTAGGCAGCTCTGGCTTGGGATCTATTAGGAGGACTCACCTCCAGGGTGGCTGATGCACATGATTGCCAAGTGGGTGCTTTCTGCTGGAAGGAGGATTCAGTGTCTTACTATGTGGGCCTTTCCAAAGGGCTGCCTAAGTGTCCTCATGACATGGTAGCTAGCTTCCCCTAGAGCAAGTAATCCAATAGTGAGTTAGCTAGGTGGAGCTATCCTTTATATGACATAGCCTAGGAAGTCACATAGCATCACCTCCACTACATTCTGTTTGATGGAAGTGAGTCATTAAGTATGGACCACATTTAGGAGGAGGGAAATTAGGCTCCACCATTTGAAGGAAAGAG